GCTCAGCTCCGGCATCACCGGCATCCACCAGGGACAGGCTCGTCTTCCGAGACCAACCCTGAAGAACTTCCCTCATAACCAACAATAGGTGAGCCACTGTCCCTATTTAAAGGCCCATCCGTCAAGTAAGAGCCGCCTCTTCCTCTGGGGAAGAGTGATGTAGGAGCTGAGGGAGGCCAGGGTGTCCCTGTAAAGAAGGACCCTCTAGAGAAGGAACCACTGAGAGTGAGGAATATGTGCTCCCCTCACAGTGCTCCCTGCAGGAGGAGGCTCGGGAAGGTTGACTCCCAGTGCCCTTCCCAAAAGTCAGAATTTCAAGTGTCAGTGGAGGAGATGTTTGTGGAGGTTTTTGGACAGTTGCCTCCTCCTGTGGAAAGGTTGGTCCTCCTCTGCTTTGGTCTCACTATCATCATAAATCAAAAAGAAATATTTATTCTCCGTCCCAGAAAACCCTCGGGAGGCACTAGAAGGCATTCAGAACTGAACTTGATCATTTCTGCACTAAAACCCTCAATAGGTTTCTGCGTCCTATGAGACAAAATCCAAACATGTTAGGCTGGTATGATACAGTCTGTTTATTTTTCCCAATATCCATCTCCTTACTTTTTTTTAAAACACATCTCTCATTCCTTCCCCCCAGCATACCTGAGTTTTAACTGAACCCAAGACTGCTCAGTTGTGTCTGGCTCTTTGTGACCCCATGGACTGGAGCTCTCCAGTCTCCTCTGCCCACGGAATCCTCCAGGCCAGAATATTGGAGTGAGTTGCCACTTTCTTTTCCAGGAGACTTTCTTGACCCAGAGATGGAACCCAGGTCTCCACCACTGCAGGCAGATTCTTTACTGTCTGAGCCACCAGGGAAGCCAAAACACTGCTGCAGGAGACCCGGGTTCGATCCCTGGGTCAGGAAGATCCCCCTGGAGGAGGGCATGGCTACCCACTCCAGTGTTCTTGCCTGGAGAATTCCATGGACAGAGGAGCCTAGAAGGTTACAGTCCATGGGGTCACAAAGAGTTGGACGTGACTGAACGACTAACCACACAACACAATCTTGTGATTACAGGCTGGGTGCTTTGAGGCACCTGACATCAGTCTGGCCTCTGAGGAAGGGAGAAGGGACTAGAGACAGAGTTGAATCATGTGGCCAATAATTTAATCAGTCGTGCCTACATCATGATATCCCAATAAAAACTCTGGACATCATAGTGCAAGTAAGCTTGCCTGGTTGGCAATACTCAGTATACTGTCACTGACCGATGTACCCAGAAGGTGAAACATCGTGTCCTCTCAGGGAGAGGACATGGAAGCTTAGTGTTTGGGATCCTCCCTACGTACTTCTTCTTTCAGCTTGATCTAATTTGTATCCTTTGTGCTATACTAAAACTGTGGTTGTAAGTACAGCATTTCTGAGTTTTGTGAGTAGTTCTAGCAAGTTATCAAACCTAAGGGGTGGTGTGAACCCCAAAGTTTGTTACCAGTTGAGCAGAAGTGAGGGTTGTGTGGGGACCCTTGAACTTGCCACTGGCCTCTGAAATGAGGGCAGTCTTGTGGAGGACTATGCCTTTAATCTGTAAAGTTTAATTTAACTCTGGGTGGTTAGTGTCAGAGCAAACTCCAGGAGATAGTAACTGGCAGGGAAGATTGGCGTACTGCAATCCATGGGGTCGCAAAAAGTCAGACACAACTTAGTGACTGAACAAAAAAAAAAGTGTCAGAAGCCATTGCAGTATTCTTTCTGCTTGGGCTCGATATCTGACTTGTCTGACTGTGTGTTGCATTCAATCAACTAGCAAAAATAGATTGAGCAATAGATGAATTAACTATAATCCCTGCTCTCAAGGAGCCTGAAATCTAGAACAAAAAGAAATTACGATAGTATATGAACTCATAGAATGACGTACAAAGTGTACCATCAAGGGAAGATGAATTGCAACTTATGGTTAGAGGGCAGTTGAAGAGAATTTTGTAAAGGAGGTGATCTCTGAGCTGACTTTTGAAAGATGGATAAGTGTTTGTCTCATACAAAGAGAAAAGCATATTCTAGTCCACAGGGAGCACACGCGCATAGGCACAGTGGTGAGAAAAGATACCGTGTGTTCAGAAAAATCCAAGCTCATCTGCATTGCTGGAGCACTGTATGGGAGTGAGAAGCAGGAGGGGAAGGCAGTAGGTCTAGAGAGGGAGGAAGAGGCTTCATATTCCACACCAAGATGCTGGAACTTTATCCTGGAAGTTTCTCGCCGTGCAGCCCAAGGTCCAACCATCAGTGAGTAATGTTTAACAAGTAATCCATTTAGGGAATGACTGTCCTACGTGATGAGCAGAAACTTGCCTTAACTTGCATTTTGAAAGATCATGGTGGCCTCCCAGACCAAATGTTACAGAGATTAAACTTGCAGCTGAAATCAAAGAAAAATGATGGATCAATCAGTCAGTTCAGTCGCTTAGTTGTGTCTGACTCTTTGCAACCCCATGAATCGCAGCACGCCAGGCCTCCCTGTCCATCACCACCTCCTGGAGTTTATTCAAACTCATGTCCATCGAGTCAGTGATACCATCCAGCCATCTCATCCTCTGTCGTCCCCTTCTCCTCCTGACCCCAATCCCTCCCAGCATCAGGGTCTTTTCCAATGAGTCAACTCATCGCATGAAGTGGCCAAAGTATTAGACTTTCAGCTTCAGCATCAGTCCTTCCAATGAACACCCAGGGCTGATCTCCTTCAGGATAGACTGGTTGGATCTCCTTGCAATCCAAGAGACTCTCAAAAGTCTTCTCCATACAGCCACTATGGAAAACAGTGTGGAGATTTCTTAAAAAGCTGGAAATAGAACTGCCATATGACCCAGCAATCCCACTTCTGGGCATACACACCGAGGAAACCAGATCTGAAAGACACGTGCACCCCAATGTTCATCGCAGCACTGTTTATAATAGCCAGGACATGGAAGCAACCTAGATGCCCATCAGCAGACGAATGGATGAGGAAGCTGTGGTACATATACACCATGGAATATTACTCAGCCATTAAAAAGAATTCATTTGAATCAGTTCTAATGAGATGGATGAAACTGGAGCCCATTATACAGAGCGAAGTAAGCCAGAAAGATAAAGACCATTACAGTATACTAACACATATATATGGAATTTAGAAAGATGGTAACGATAACCCTATATGCAAAACAGAAAAAGAGACTCAGATGTATAGAACAGACTTGTGGACTCTGGGAGAAGGCGAGGGTGGGATGTTTCAAGAGAACAGCATCGAAACATGTATATTATCTAGGGTGAAACAGATCACCAGCCCAGGCTGGATACATGAGACAAGTGCTCGGGCCTGGTGCACTGGGAAGACCCAGAGGGATCGGGTGAAGAGGGAGGTGGGAGGGGGGACCGGGATGGGGAATACATGTAAATCCATGGCTAATTCATTTCAATGTATGACAAAAACCACTGCAATGATGTAAAGTAATTAGCCTCCAACTAATAAAAATAAATGAAAAAAATATATATATAAAAAAAAATAAAAATAAAAAAAATAAAAAATGAGAAAAAAAAAAAAGTCTTCTCCAACACCACAGTTCAAAAGCATCAATTTTTCGGCAGTCAGCTTTCTTCACAGTCCAACTCTCACATCCCTACATGACCACTGGAAAAACCATAGCCTTGACTAGACGGACCTTTATTGGCAAAGTAATGTCTCTGCTTTTTAATATGCTGTCTAGGTTGGTCATAACTTTCCTTCCAAGGAGTAAGCATCTTTTAATTTCATGGCTGCAATCACCATCTGCAGTGATTTTGGAGCCCCAAAAAATAAAGTCTGACACTGCTTCCACTGTTTCCCCATCTCTTTGCCATGAAGTGATGGGACCAGATGCCATGATCTTAGTTTTCCGAATGTTGAGCTTTAAGCCAACTTTTTCACTCTCCTCTTTCACTTTCATCAAGAGGTTTTTTAGTTCCTCTTCACTTTCTGCCGTAAGGATGGTGTCATCTGCATATCTGAGATTATTGATATTTCTCCCGGCAATCTTGATTCCAGCTTGTGCTTCTTCCAGCCCAGCGTTTCTCATGATGTACTCTGCATATAAGTTAAATAAGCAGGGTGACAATATATAGACTTGATATACTCCTTTTCCTATTTGGTACTAGTCTGTGATGGATAAGATTGCAAAAATAAAAACAATTTAAAAACACTGACTATCTATCTGAAAAAAACATGAAGAACTTCCATGCTAATTTTGGGATGAAACTCTGTAACCAGAAAGGTAAGCCAAAATTGAGACCTACAAAACTGCTTATGATCTGAGGGCACTTGCCAAGAACACAAGTGACCCCAGTTGTCAGCAACAGACCTGCAGAGAGAGGAGTGAGCCCACTGACAGTGAGGAGTTTGGGGAGACCTTTCCCACACTGTGCTGAGATCCAAAAGGACTATAATCTCAGACAAATGTAACCAGATATCATCCTGCCTCTCCCCCCAAAAACCTCTGGAAACTTCACAAAGGGTTGTGTCAGTGATTTAAAAAAGAGACCCACAGTGCTCTGTGCTGTGAAGAAGCAGCTCCCGGGGACTGGGGGCATTTTGTGTTGGTTGGAGCCGGAGCAACAAGATGGCGGCGTCGGCGGAGTGACGGGGTCCCTCCGGGCGGGAGCCGGTGGCAGTGGTGGCAGCAGTATCGCCGCCCTAGCTTCACCGCTCCTTTTCCAGCCCGCGACGTCGCCGGGAAAGCGAGGCAGCGGCGGCCGCCAGAAACAAGTGGCTCAGTCTGGTAACCGCGAGAACTCCTTCAACAATCTGCGGCCCGGCCAAAAAACCTGACAGCAGCGGTGATCAGGTTCCCCTTGGCCGATTCTTGGCCCTGTAACGCCGAAGAAGATCCATTGTTTTCTGTTTCCTGCCGCTCTCCACAGCCTTGTTCCGTGGTCGAGCCCTAGAGGCCTCCATCCTCCCTTTAGAGGTGTTGGGGCTTAGCCCCAGCCTCCATCTTCGTCTCTCAGGATGGCGAGCAGCAGCGGCTCCAAGGCCGAATTCATTGTGGGAGGGAAATATAAACTGGTACGGAAGATCGGGTCTGGCTCCTTCGGGGACATTTATTTGGCGATCAACATCACCAACGGCGAGGAGGTGGCAGTGAAGCTAGAATCCCAGAAGGCCAGGCATCCCCAGTTGCTGTACGAGAGCAAACTCTTTATAAGATTCTTCAAGGTGGGGTTGGCATCCCCCACATACGGTGGTATGGTCAGGAAAAAGACTATAACGTGCTAGTTACGGATCTTCTTGGACCCAGCCTTGAGGACCTCTTCAATTTCTGTTCAAGAAGGTTCACAATGAAAACTGTACTTATGTTAGCTGACCAGATGATCAGTAGAATCGAATATGTGCATACAAAGAATTTTATACACAGAGACATTAAACCAGAAAACTTCCTAATGGGTATTGGGCGTCACTGTAATAAGTTATTCCTTATTGATTTTGGTTTGGCCAAAAAGTACAGAGACAACAGGACCAGGCAACACATACCGTACAGAGAAGATAAGGACCTCACCGGCACCGCTCGGTATGCCAGCATCAACGCACATCTTGGTATTGAGCAGAGTCGCCGAGATGACATGGAATCATTAGGATATGTTTTGATGTATTTTAATAGAACCAGCCTGCCATGGCAAGGATTAAAGGCTGCAACAAAGAAACAAAAACATGAAAAAATTAGTGAAAAGAAGATGTCCACACCTGTTGAAGTTTTATGTAAGGGATTTCCTGCAGAATTTGCCATGTACTTAAACTATTGTCCTGCGCTGCGCTTTGAGGAAGCCCCGGATTACATGTACCTGAGGCAGCTATTCCGCATTCTTTTCAGGACCCTGAATCACCAATATGACTACACATTTGATTGGACAATGTTAAAATAGAAAGCAGCACAGCAGGCAGCCTCTTCAAGTGGGCAGGGTCAGCAGGCCCAAACCCCCACAGGCAAGCAAACTGACAAAACCAAGAGTAACATGAAAGGTTTCTAAGCATGAATCAAGGAACAGAAGAAGCAGAGCAGATGATCGGAGCAGCATTTGTTTCTCCCCAAATCTAGAAATTTTAGTTCATGTGTACACTAGCCAGTGGTTGTGGACAACCATTTACTTGGTGTAAAGAACTTAATTTCAGTATAAACTGGCTCTGGGCAGCATTGGTCATGGATGCTGTGTCCTGAGTTGTAGCCGCTGTAATTGTGAATATTAACTGAGATAGTGAAACATGGTGTCAGTTTTCTATTGCATTTTTTCAAGTGGTAAAGTTCACTAAATGGTTGACACACACAAATTGGTGGAGAAATTGTGCATATGCCAATTTTTTGTTAAAATCTTTTATTTTGAACTATACTGCTTTGAGATCTCATCAGAAGAACGGCATAAACAGTCTTCAGCCACAGTTGTGATGGTTGTAAATGCTCACAATTGTGCATTCTTAGGGTTTATCCATCCCTGGGGTTTGCAAGTTGTTCACTTAAAACATTCTTAAAATGGCTGGCTTCTTGTCTGCAAGCCAGCTGACACAGTAGCAACCAAAGATTCCAGTGTTTGAGCATATGGAAGACTCTGCCTGCTTACCTGTGCTAGAAAAACAGCATCTAAATGAAGATTTAAGAAAACTTAGTGACTACTAGATTATCCTTAGGACTCTGCATTAACTCTATAATGGTCTTGGTATTAAAAAAAAGTGCATATTTGTCACAGAAATTTAGTTAACATCTTACAACTGAACATGTATGTATGTGGCTTAGATAAATGTAATCACTGTAAACATCTATATGATCTGGGATTTTGTTTTTATTTTGAAATGGGAGCTTTTCTGTTTACAAATGCATTAAAAACTATAAACAGTTAAAAAAAAAAAAGACAGGGAACAGAAAAGAAGAGAAACAGCTATTCTTGGGTATATGTAGTCACAGACAGCCCTCTTAGAAATTCGAACCTCATTCTGTACAGCCTGGATGTTGAATCACTGGGTCTCAAACCTTGACCCTTGCTCTAAGGTGTTCTGACTGATAGCTCATCTCAGGAGAAAACACATCAAGCTGAGACCTCAGAGCACTAACACAGATACTTTTTCAATAGAAATGACCAGAAAAGAGAGGGTGTGGAGAAAAGGGAACCCTCTTACACTGTTGGTGGGAATGCAAACTAGTACAGCCACTATGGAGAACAGTGTGGAGATTCCTTTAAAAACTGGAAATAGAACTGCCATATGACCCAGAAATCTCCCTGCTGGGCATACACACTGAGGAAACCAGAAGTAAAAGAGACACGTGTACCTCAGTGTTCATCACAGCACTATTTACAATAGCTAGGACATGGAAGCAACCTAGATGTCCATCAGCAGAAGAATGGATAAGAAAGTTGTGGTACATATATACAATGGAATATTACTCAGCCATTAAAAAGAATGCATTTGAGTCAGTTCTAATGATGTGGATGAAACTGAGCCTATTATACAGAGTGAAGTAAGTCAGAAAGAAAAACACCAATACAGTATATTAACGCATATATATGGAATTTAGAAAGATGGTAATGACAAACCTATATGCAAAACAGCCAAAGAGACACAGATGTAAAGAACAGACTGTTGGACTCTGTGGGAGAAGGCAAGGGTGGGATGATCTGAGAGGATAGCACTGAAACATGTATATTGCCATATGTGAAACAGATCGCCAGTCCAAGTTCGATGCATGAGACAGGGTGCTCAGGGCTGATGCACTGGGATGACCCTGAGGGATGGGGTGGGGAGGGAGGTGGGAGGGGGCTCAGGATGGGGGACACATGTACACCCATGGCTGATTCATGTCAATATATGGCAAAAGCCACCACAATATCATAAAGTAATTAGCCTCCAATTAAAATAAATTATTTTTTTAATGAAATGACCGGAAAACAAAGATTAGCAGGCATACAAGAAAACAAGACAACCTGAACACAAAAAAGAACCATCAAAAAATCACGGATCACAGGAACAGATTCACAAAGATTTCAGATAGTGGAATTATTAGATCTGGTTTATTTTTTAAAAAAGAAAGAAAAAAAACTCTGATGACGTGTTTAAAGAAATAAATAACAACACGCATATAGATGCACGGAATTGTTGTTTTTGTCTTACAGTCACTTGGTTGTGTTGACTCTTGTGACCCCACGAACTATAGTTCCCCAGTCCCCTCTGTCCATGGGTTTTCCCAGGCAAGAATACTGGAGTGGGTTGCCATTCTTTACCACTGAGCCACTGGGGAAGCCCACACATGGAATAGGAAACTCTACAAAGTAACAAGCATATTTGAAAAAGAAATGAACTTCCAAAGTGAAAAAATATACAAGAACCAAAACAACAGTAATAATGGTTGTATTTGGCTGTGGGTTGGACACATCAGAAGAGAAAATTAGTGAACTGGAAGAAATTGTGTACATCCTCTAAGTCAAATAGAATCTTGTTTTCCTGGACTTTAAAACAGAATTGTTCCCTATTCTTTCAGTGGAATTCTGGCAAGTTTTCAGGTTCCCTGGTGGCTCAGAGGTAAAGAATCTGCCTGCTAATGCAGAAAACGCAGGTTTGATCCCTGAATCAGGAAGATCCCCTGGTGAAGGAGATGGCAACCCACTCCTGTATTTTTGCCTGGGAAATCCCACCCATGGGGTTGCAAAAGAGTCAGACACAGCTTAACAACTAAACAACAACATGGCAAGTTTCCACAGGTTGAGCTGCTCTTTGTAAAGCATATGTGGGTAATTATTATCTCTGCTTCTTCATAGAAGCTGTGATTCTCAAATTATTTAAGGTGGTGGTTGACTGCACCCATACTTTTGGTCAGCAGCTCAAAGAATGAGGCAATTCATCCTCCTATGAAGTAGACATCCGATCTCAACACCCAACCCAGAACTCTGAAAGAGTGAAAATTTGCCATCTCTGGCAGGTGGCAGTATCAGGAGGTCCTTGATGAATGCCTATTAGGTCAGTTTGATAATGTTTTCCTTTTTGTCAGTTTGATAATGTTTTCCTTTTTGATTAAGAAGCAACACTTTTTTGTGTCTTCGTATCACCAGTATCCCGTGTCTGGGATGTTGTATGTTACAGAAGTCAACAACTCTCCTCCCAGCGCCATGTGGCCCCTGGAGGGCTGGGGAGATTTATCTGAAGTTTCCATAAGCAAAACTGCAGTAAGAACCTCCTTGTCGTTTGTTAATTGAAAATAAACTACTGTCTTTTGGAGAAGGACACAAGCCTCAGAGTCAAGGCTGTGTTTTGTCACCCTGCTTATTTAACTTCTATGCAGAGTACATCATGAGAAATGCTGGGCTGGATGAAGAACAACCTGAAATCAAGATTGCCAGGAGAAATACCAATAACCTCAGATATGCAGATGACACCACCCTTATAGCAGAAAGTGAAGAAGAACTAAAGAGCCTCTTGATGAAAGTGAAAGAGGAGAGTGAAAAGTTGGCTTAAAACTCAACATTCAGATAACTAAGATCTTGGCATCCAGTCCCAACACTTCATGACAAATAGATGGGGAAACAGTGGAAATAGTGACAGACTTTATTTTCCCGGGCTCCAAAATCACTGCAGATGGTAACTGCAGCCATGAAATTAAAAGACGATTGCTCCTTGGAAGAAAAGCTATGACCAACCTAGACAGCATATTAAAAAGCAGAGACATTACTTTGCGAATAAATGTCTGTCTAGTCAAAGCTATGGTTTTTCCAGTAGTCATGTACAAATGTGAGAGTTGGACTATAAAGAACGCTAAGCACCGAAGGATTGATGCTTTTGAACTGTGGTGTTGGAGAAGACTCTTGAGAGTCTCTTGGACTGCAAGGAGATCCAACTAGTCAATCCTAAAGAAAATAAACCCTGAATATTCATTGGAAGGACTGATGCTGAAGCTGAAGTTCCAGTACTTTGGCCACCTGTTGCAAAGAACTGACTCATTGGAAAAGACTCTGATACTGGGAAAGATTGAAGCGGGGAGGAGAAGGGGACGACAGAGGATGAGATGGTTGGATGGCATCACCAACTCAATGGACATGAGTTTGAGTAGGCTCCAGGAGATGGTGATGGACAGGGAGGCCTGGCATGCTGCAGTCCATGGGGTCACAAAGAGTCGCACGTGACTGAGCGACTGAACTGTATCAAACTGAACAAGCCTCCAAGGGCTGCTATGGAAACCCACT